CTTTGGAACACTAAAAAATACAATGCTACGGGCACTGGGGTGGCTCAGTCAGTTTAGCAGCCAACTCTTGCTTTCAGCTCAGGTCATGATCTTGCAGTTGTGAGATTGAGCCCCTCAACAGGCTCCGCACTCAGTGCAGAGTTTGCTTCAGATTCTCTCCCTCTCCTTTCCCCTTTCTCCCCCTGCTCTCATGCTCTCTCTCTCTCTCAAATAAATAAATAAAATCTTTAAAAAAATATATATATATATATATAATGCTTACATTACATGATTACATGGCTGTCTCATTCAAATATTTGAAAAATGGTCACTTTTGGCATATTCATTGTCTCATACCTTCCTATTCTAGCTCTAGACTTTCATATATACATATTTATATATGCAGATATAAAAGCTCAGGAATGTGGCATAGCATTTTTCCTTATTAAGAAATTCTGAGGGGCGCCTGGGCGGCTCATTGGTTAAGCAACTGCCTTCGGCTCAGGTCATGATCCCAGGGTCCTGGGATCGAGCCCCGCATCAGGCTCCCTGCTCAGGAGAGAGCCTGCTTCTGCCTTTCCCTCTGCCTGCCCCTCTGCCTACCTGTGCTCTCTAGCTGTCAAATAAATAAATAAAAAATATTTAAAAAAAAAAGAAGTTCTGAAAGTACATTAAGTAGTATTCAAAAATTGAAAGCTAAGAAATAGGCAACATCAGAAGCTGTCATTACTAAAGTCTCACTGTTAAGGAAAGCCAGTTCAGTGAGAGGAGAAACTGTCTTATTCACTCCTGCATTCCTTAGTTGTACCACAGAGTTTATCACATGACTACTGGATCTAAGAGATTTCCAGGAGCAATCATAAGCTATAAAGAAAGAAATAAATGCCTACAAGGGCCACCTGTTAGGAGTAGTTTCTGATAATATTTGTAGTCAAAGAGTGCAGGGTGAAGCAACTTTTTTTATAAAGCCATAACTACTTGAAGATTCCATGATGGAAACAAACTAAAAGGGATATGAAATGTTCTTTTAATTTTACTTATGCCAACTCAATCATTTTTAATTGAGTTTTTTATTTTAATTCTAGTACAGTTAACATACAGTGTTTTATCGGTTTCAGATATACTTCAATCGTTTTAAGATGTCTAATTTTGAACATACAAACTTACAAAACTAGAAAAATAAAAAATACAAAAAGAAACACTTACGACGGTATTAGTTTTCTATGTTTTAATTGTAAAAAATAACACTTGAGAGGCGCCTGGGTGGCTCAGTCGGTTAAGCAGCTGACTCTTGGTTTTGGCTCAGGTCATGATCTGAGTCATGGGATCAAGCCCCATGTTGGGCTCTGTGCTCTGTGGGCTGTGGGCTCTGTGCTCCGTGTGGAATCTGCTTGAGATTCTCTCCCCCTTACCCTCTGCTCCTCCCCCCACTGGCGCCCTAAATAAATAAATAAATAAATCTTTTAAAAAATAAATAAATAAAAATAACTCTTGATAATACACTTGATCTTAGCCAAAAGGCCAAGAAGCGATTAACTCTTGATAATGACAAAAGGTATATAGTATAGAAGGTTACATACATGTCAGTATGTACAGATCTACTTCATTCTATCAGTTGTATAATATCTCATTGTATGGATAATAATATGAAATACATACATAACATCATGTGCCACAAGTTGTTCTAAGTGCTTTATGTATGTTAACTCACAACAACCCTATTAGGTAGATACTCTTATGCCCATTTCATAGATGAAGAAACTGATACACAGAGAAGTTAAGTAAACGTGTCTGAGTTCACACTGCTGGTAAGTGATGGACTCTGGATGTGAATCCAGGCAGTGTGGCTCTGGACTCCATGATCTTAACCACTGCACTATTTAATCATATCGATAATTTCTTTGAGCAATCTTCTACATGTTTTCTATTTTTTACAATTATAACCAATTCTAAAATAAATAACCTTGAACATCTATCTTTGTGCTCTTGTGTAAGTATATCTGTAGGATAAATTCTCATCCAGAAGAATTTTTTCATCAAAACATTTATTTAAAATTTTGTTAAACATTCCTGGGGCACCTGAGTGGCTTAGTCGGTTAAGCGTCTGCCTTCGGCTCGGGTCATGATCCCAGGGTCCTGGGATGGAGCCCTGTATCAGGCTCCCTGCTTGGCTGGGAGCCTGCTTCTCCCTCTCCCTCTGTCCACCCCCTGCTTGTGATCTCTCTCTCTCTCTCTGACAAATAAGTAAATAAAATCTTTAAAAAAAAAAAATAAGTAAAATTTTGTTAAACATTCCCAATTTGAGATCCAATAAGGTTATATTAATCTATACTCCTGGCAATCCTAGATAATAAGAGTTCCTGTTTCTCCACTCTCTCGCTAACACTGGATTTTATCAATTTGCTAATCTTTGACAGTTTGATACTTGATAAATGCGATTAAAATGTTTTAATTTGGGGGCACCTGGGTGGCTCAGTTGGTTAAGCATTTGACATTGGTTCAGGTCCTGGGATATAATCAGCTCTACGCTCAGCGAGGAATCTGCTTCTCCCTCTCCCTCTGCCCTTACCCCTGCTAGTGCATGCATGTGGGTGTGCACACTCTTGCTCTGTCTCTCTCAAATAAATAAAATCTTTAAAAAATAATGTTTTGTTTTCTGTTTTTGTAATCTCAAGTTATCTACAACTAATTTATGTATCCTTTTCGAAACTTTGAGTTAGCTTACCATTCACTAGATTGGGTTATGAGGTCAAATTAAAGAATAAGAAACCCATGATGTATCACAGAATCATGAATTCTGACTTTTCGTTTTTATCTTATAATTTAAGAAATTTTGGGGCAATCACACAATGTTTTAATATTTCGTTCTTTCCTGATATTTGCATATTTATATAAATAGCTGACGTTAGTGCTTACTATGCAAGGCACTTTTTTCTAAACACTTTACAAGTATTAACTCATTTAATCCTCATAGCAACATATGGAGTTAGTACTATAATTAAGTACATTTTATCAATAAGGAAAGTGAAGCAGAGGAAGATTAAGTAACATCCCTAAGGCCACAAAGGTGGTTAAGTGATGAAATCAGGATTTGAGTTGGTCTGACTACAAAATCAAGTGTTCTTATCCACTATACTAAAGATACACTGTTTCTGAAATGGTGAATTAAGTTGGTTGGTGCTTTTTAAGCCTCTGTACTTGCCTTCGAGACAAACGAACAAAAAGAAGCTAATTTAATCTTTAAAAGTATTTACTTCGAATATTCTCTAAAAAAAAAAACAAACCCAACTTGATACATTTCTACAGAGTTTGCACAGAAACTAAAATAAATCCTGTGATAAAAATGAAGGTTTAGTTTGTTTGTTATCACATTATTTGAAAACAGCTGGAAAAATGGACTAGTCAAATTTGGAAGGTTTGTTTGGGATGGTTTGACTTAAAATATAGGCCAGTAGGAGCATAGACATTCACTGTGGAGGGCCTGACTGCTACCAAGGCAGACATGGTATACCTATTAAGTTGATGTAGACAGAAAAAAATAATGTTTTCAAAGATGAGCTCCAAAATCACAAGGACAGAGGCTTAAGACAAAATAGTTGATTTGCAACTGAGCTGTCTCTCACATGCAGTATTTTCCAGAATGAGTATATACCAGGAATACTAAATGCTGGAATCTTTATACGAGGAATTAAAGGTTATAATACTGCATATAAATAGCTTAAAATATTTGTTCAGGGGCACCTGGGTGGCTCAGTCAGTTGGGTGTCTGCCTTCAGCTCAGGTCATGATTCCGGGGTCCCGGGATCGTGCCCCAGGGAGTCTGCTTCTCCCTCTCCCTCTGCCCCTCTCCCACCACGCATTTTCCCTCTTGCTCGCTCTGCTCTCTCTCTCTTTCAAATAAAAAAAAAATTAAAAAAAAAATTTGTTCAAAGGCAATCCTTCAATATGTGAGGTGTGTTTTGTTTTAAATTATTTACCTTCGGTTAGAAAAATGACACAGTATTTAAAAGCTAAAACATAACTCGAAACTTTTGAAATAAAAAAAGGTATTAAGATTTTAAAACAAAGATGAAAATTGCATCATTTCAAACTTTCTCCATTTACGTATCTTTTTTTTTCTCTTTTTCAGCTTTACTGATGTAAAACTGACAAAACTGTATTTAAAGAGTACATTGTGGGTATTTGATATACAACATGGTGATAACAGTTAATAACATGTATTATATAACTGAAATTTGCCAAGTATTTTAATCTCCTTTTCCAGGAGGAAAATAGGTCATTTGTAACATCTTCTCCGAGAATTGTAGCAACCAAGAATAAAGTTCCTAAGTCTCCAAATAGTGAGGACCGAAAACAGGCTACATACACCCTTATGTCACAGACCTAAAATTCCATTTCTTGAATAAAAGGCATTCATTTAAAATACAATGTTTGAAAGGCGAAAACTCTGCCAGATATTTGAATCCCAGTGGCAGATTCTATGGGAGGCTTATTTATTTATTTATTTATTTTTAAATATGTATTTATTTGAGAGACAGAATGAGAGAGAGAGAGAGAGAGAGAGAGGATGAGAGGGGGAAGGTTCAGGGGGAGAAGCAGACTCCCCGCTGAGCGGGGAGCCCGATACGGGACTCGATCCCAGGACTCCAGGATCATGACCTGAGCCAAAGGCAGTCGCTCAACCAACTGAGCCACCCAGGCGCCCAGAGGCTTATTTATTTAAAGATACATAGTAATCTGGGGTGCCTGGGTGACTCAGTCATTAAGTGTCTGCCTTCAGCTCAGGTCATGATCCCAGGGTCCCGGGATCGAGCCCTGCATCGGGCTCCCTGCTCAGCGGGGAGCCTGCTTCTCCTTCTCCCACTCCCCCTGCTTGTGTTCCCTCTCTTGCTGTGTCTCTCTCTGTCAAATAAATAAAATCTTGAAAAAAAAAAGAAAATAAAGATATATGGTAATCTTTAAAACTAACAATATAATCATTAAAAAAAATAATATTAGAGAGCACTTAAAACTTATCTTACCAAGCTGAATATTTCTTATCCACACTGATTGTTTGGTTTCTTTTAAGATTTTCTCAAAGTAAACCCCAGCAAAGCCACTTGAAAAACATGCTGTGAGAACTGCCATGAGGCCTACAAACTGAGAACCAGCTGAAAGTTCCTTAGAATCAAGCTCTTGAGAATCTGAAGGCCACTGAACAAAAAGAAAAACAAAACTGGAGTTTAGTCCTTATGATATTTTACAAAGTGCATATTTAGAGCCCACTCTCAGACCTTAAGATAAAAATGTAACCAATACCATTCTTGGGGATTTGCAGAGGAGAGCTTTTGAAAGAAAAACTTAGAATCATTTTATTTTTTTCCCATTGTGATATTACCGTTACAACTTACAATTTCAAAAAATTCCCTAAAAAAGAGAAAGAGAATGAGTAAATGCACACAGATGCACAAAACAGCTTCTATAAATTGTAGAAGTTCAGAGTGTGAACTGTCTGACCAGCAAAAATGAGAACAGAGCTGTTGGTAATTATGGAAGGTCCATATGGTATCATGTTAACCATTATGGGCTTTATCCTACAGATCAGTGTTCCAGAAATTATCATCTTCATGGTTTTTGTCAAATCTGTGTTCCACCTGAACTATTTATTACTTGATATTTTAATTTAAAACACCTCACTTTTTAAAATGTAATACCTATTTTAACTTATCCTTAGCAATATCTATGAAAATATGGGTTTGAAATGACAGTTAAATTTTTTTCATACCCATTTAAAAATAACTATCAGAAATATTTATTCAAGGGGCGCCTAGCTGGCTCAGTTGGTAGAGCATGCAACTCTTGTTCTCGGGTTTTTGTAAGTTTGAGCCCCACGTTTGGTGTAGAGATGACTTAAAAATAAAATCTTAAAAAAAATGCTTGCATTGTTTAAAAATAAAATATTTATTCAAGATAGACATACCACACTCTGGGGAAAGTGACAGACATACCACACTCTGGATGGCAGGAAACTGACATGATTGGATTTGTTTTTAGATAAACCATAGTGGGGACGCCTGGGTGGCTCAGTCAGTAAGGTGTCTACCTTCAGCTCAGGTCATGATCCCAGGGTCCTGGGATCAAGCCACGTGTGGGGCTCCCTGCTTAGTGGGGAGTCTGCTTCTCCTTCTGCCTGCCACTCCCCCTTCTTCTCTCTCTAACAAATAAATAAAATCTTAGATAAACCATAGTGGTGACTACGTGGAGTTTGAGTTTTGAGGGATGGGTAAGATTGATGTAAAAAAAAAAAATCAGGAGGTAAATGATCATGTGAGAAACAAAGAACACATGAACTGGGGAAGTGATGATAAAGACAGATAAGGACAGAATCAAGAAGCATTAGAAAGCAGAATCAGGGGGCGCCTGGGTGGCTCAGTCAGTAAACCTCTGCCTTCATCTCAGGTCATGATCCTGGGGTCCTGGGATCGAGTCCTGTGTCAGGCTCCCTGCTCAGTCGGGAGCCTACTTTCCCCTCTGCCCCTCCCCCCTGCACGCCCTTTCTCTCTTAAATAAATAAATAAAATCCTAAAAAAAAAAAAAAGCAGAATCAGCAAAGTCTTAGTGACTGATTAGATGCACAGTCACTAAGGAAGAGTTTAGGCCAACTCCCAGGTGGAGTAAATAATGAGGAAAAAATAGAAACAAGAACAGGTTTGGTGGAAGAAAAGGTAAAGTTCTGGATATGCTCAGTTTATAAGGTCTACTGAATAACCAAGCTAAGATGTCCAACAGATTTTTAGATATACAAATCTGAAATTACAGTGATGACATAGAACAAGGAACCATGGACATTTAAGGGTTAATAAAAACCTACAGAATAGATGATGTCTCCAAAAATAAAGATATAATTTAAGGAAAAGAACAAGCCTACCAACAACCCCAATATCAAGTATCAAGGAAGAGGATCCCAAGAAGGAACCCAACAAGGAATCATTAGAAAGATGAGAAAAACCAGGAAAGAATGGTATCAGAGAAGCTGATAGACAATAAGAAGGAAGTGATTAATAATCTCAAATGCTCAGACATCCAGTAAAAATCAGATTTGTTTTATATGTAGTATCTTACTTTCCTAGATTGTTTATTTCTTTATGTCAGATAATTTGATTTTTATTTATTCTAATTTTAAAATTTTCTTCCTTCCTTCCTTTCAATCATTCATTTCCTTATTTAAATTCCAATATAGTTAACATACAGTACTATATTAGTTTCAGGTGTACAATATAGTAATTTAACAATTCCGTATATTACTCAGGGCTCAAGGTAAGTGGACTCTTAATCCCCATCACCTATTTCCCCTATCTCCCCACCTACCTCCTCTCTGGTAACCATCAGTTTGTTCTGTATAGTTAAGAGTCTGTTTTTTGGTTTATCTCTTTTTTTCTTTGTTCGTTTGTTTCTTAAATGCCACATATGAGTAAAATCATACGGTGTGTATATATATACAGTAGAATATTACTCAAGCATAAAAACAGAATGAAATCTTGCCGTTTGTAACAACATAGATGGATGCAGAGAGTATAAGCTAAGTGAAATCAGTCAGATTTTTTTTATCAGTTGCAGCCCCAATATAGTATTGCTCAAAGGAAGCCTTCAAAAAATATGTCAGTTGTAAGAATAAGCATTTATTTGCTTCAACGATTAATAGAACTATATTCTCCATACACAGTAACTAAAGTTCTGAAACTGTGATAAAAATGAAAGGTATACTTATCTTGAATAGTTACCTGTACAAAAGCAACTCCTGTCATCAAAATTATTAGCGAGAGCCACTGGTACACACCTAATTTTTTACCAAGCATAGACACGGAAAATAATGCTGTTGTAAGAATTTTCAACTGATATGTGACCTGAAAAAGAAAACAGTTAATATTATTGTTTGTTTGTTTGTTTCTTAAAAGAACTACTAGAAATATGTTTTAAGTACCTGATAAGTAGCTGCATCCAGGTTTGACAGGGCCACATAGAGTAAATTATTCTGAAGAGTATATATCCCTGATGGAATAGCAAGTTTAAGCGTTTCCATAGGTTTATTAAGTATTTCATCATGTAGTATTCGATTCAGTGTTCTTAGACTACATTCTAGTAAAAACATGAAATGGGAAAAATCATTAAGTAACTCTGAATAATTTACATACACTCTCTCAAGGCCTGTTTTCTCACCCATAAAAAAACAGAAATAGTCCTACATGTTAAGATACCTTTAGGTCTAAAGTATACCTTTAATGATACTAATTTTTTGAAGTTAAATATTATAATATAGCACTTTAAGAAGCATTCTCCTTATATTCTTTCATTAGGGAACACAAGCAAATTGATTATATATGTACACACACACACACACACATATTTATGATAACCAAAAGCTCAGAGCAAGTATTAATTTTTCAGCTGAGTATTCTTACTCTATAGTAGCAACATTATAAAAACTTGTATTTTGTGCATTCCATTTTATCATCAGCTGAACTTCAAAGGGATCTGTCTCATCCCCACAGGTCCAGGTCCAGGTCTAAAGCTGCTATAGCAGCTCGGCGATGATATCAGCACCTAAGCTCTCTCTCCATATATATTGGCTTTTTACCTTCATGCTTTTCATCTATTGTCTACATGATTATTGCAAAAAAGTCACCAAATGATTCCTGCACTTCTGTCTGGTTCTTGTGTTTAGGCAACAAGAAAGAACAGGAGGACACTGTGACCTAGCGGGCATTGCTCTCATAGACCAGGATATTGTTGCAGCTACCCAGTACAATAAGGGAGCTGGGAGCTGGGCAATGTAGTTTTTTTCTTTCATATTCTTCACATTAGAAACAACAAAGGGAGAAAGGGGCTGGGAATGGACTTTGAGCTAGCCAACATACAGTATTAGTCACAAAAAGTGTCCAAAGAAGGTTACCAACACATAAACCCACGGCACTTGGCTGGCTCAGTTGGTGGAACATGTGACTCTCCAACTCATGGTCCTGAGTTCAAGCCCCACATTGGGCATGGAGCCTACTTAAAATAAAAAAAACTAAAAAATAAAAGATACATAAACCCACAAAGACAGGAGAAATCTAAGGAATCCTACTACTTTGCCAACAATGATACTTCATAGATGATTTTCTCTCCCAACATAAAACGTGAAAAGTTTCATTATGAAAACTTTTTAAAAATGAAAATACTGTTTAAAGATTAATATCTGATATTTATCCCTTCCTCACGCTAAAATAATAATAGTAAAATAAGATGTAACTAAAAGTTACGAAAAGATTTTTTTCTTAGATTTAGCAGAAAAAAAATCTAAAATATTAGCTCATTTAAACATTTTTAAAATTAGAGGCACCTGGGTGGCTCAGTTGGTGAAGCATCAGCCTTCAGCTCAGTTCATGATCCCAGGGTCCTGAGATCGAGTCCCACATCAGGCTCCCTGCTTGTCCAGGAGCCTGCTTCTCCCTCTCCCTCTGCCTGCAGCTCCCCCTGCTTGTGCTCTCTCACTCTGACAAATAAATAAAATCTTTAAAAATTTTTTAATTATAAATTAAACTTTTAAGTAATTAATGCTATCACATATTTTTCTCACCAGCAGTTTAGGGAAGGTCTTGTTCCATGTTCCTTCCAATTCCTGTTATTGTTAGGCTTTTTATTTTCGTCAATCTGAAGGTAGTGAAATTGAGTCTGTGGCTCTAATATGATTGATTGCTAGTGAGGTTGATCTATATTTATATATTTTTATATATTTATATAAACATATTTCAATATATTTGTCTTTTTAAAATCTTTTATTTTTTTAAGATTTTATTTATTTGAGAGAGAGCAAGAGAGAGAGCACAAGCAGGGGGAGGGGCAGAAGAGAGGGAGAAGCAGGCTCCCTGCTGAGCGGCAAGCCCTCCCTGGGGCTGATCCCAAGACCCCAGGATCATGACCTGAGCTGAAGGCAGATACTTAACCCACTGAGCCATCCAGGTGCCCCACATTTATGTGAATTTTATTCTACCTTACTGGTGACTCAGTTTTCTTTTTTTTAAACCACCAGATCTAGACCATTTTACAGGTGAAATTTTTTTTTTTTTAAGATTTATTTATTTACTTTGGGGGTCGGTGTAAGGAGTGGAGGGAGAGGGACAAGCAGACTCCACACTTAGAGCAGAGCCGGATGCTGGGCTTGATCTCACAACCCCTGAGATCATGACCTGAGCCAAAATCAAAAGACGGATGTTTAACCAACTGAGCCACCTAGGCGCCCCTGACTCAGTCTTTTTTTGCTGGTTCTTCTTCTCAATCTGACCTCTAAATGTTAGGAATGCTACAGAGCTTAGTCTTTGGCCTTCTCTTCTCAGTATATACTAAATTACTTCATCCAATCCTTGACTTTAAAGCAATATATAAGATGACAAATCCTTGAGCTCCATATTCATATATCATACTATTTAACATTTCCATTTGAATGCCTTATGGGCATCTCAAATTAAACATGGCCCAAGAGAAACCTTAATTACCCCTTAACTTATCTTCCATATATCATTCACTTCAGTACCCACTCACCCAGTAATTTAACCTAAAAACCTAGGAATTATTTCTCAGACTGGATTCCCCATTTCTTTGACCATCACACACCTAATCTACTAGCAAGTCACGTGAGCTGTAGCTTAAAAAGACATCTTTTTAAGAGATGTTGATTTGTGAACCAAATCAACGCCATCTTGGACAAATCTGCTATGATGACCATTCTGTGATATGAAGCATTCTGGAGCATAGATTTCACCCCCCCACCCAAACACACACACATACACACACACACACACTCTCTTTCCTTTTGTTTAACCACATCCTTAAGTACACCCTTGGGATATAACATCCATGATCTGTCTTGGAGATATGACTGACGCACACCTTTTCTTAAACATTTTCCTCTTGGGGGCGCCTGGGTGCCTCAGTCGGTAAAGCGTCTGCCTTCGGCTCAGGTCATGATCTCGGGGTCCTGGGATCGAGCCCTGCATCACATCAGGCTCCCTGCTCAGCAGGGTGTCTGCTTCGCCCTCTGCCTCTGCTGCTCCCCCTGCTGGTACACTCTCTCTCTCTCTCAAATTAATAAAATCTTAAAACAAAACAAAACAAAACATTTTCCTCTTGGATGGTCCCTCAACATGTACTCTCCACCTCTAGGGACTATAAAAGCAGGTCTTAATGGAGGTGGTATCGCAGAGATCTACTCCTCTTCCAGCCACCCACAACACCCTTGTCAAGCTGCATTCGTCAGCCTTTTTCTTTAGTCTCAGAGCTCCTTCAGCTTTGGAAGTTGTTTTGCATATACCTCCCATTCACATTACAACATCTCATAAACCTCATCTCTTCTCTAGCAATGTAATCAAAGACACTATCATCTTCTTGCCTGGACTAGTGCAACAGCTTCCAAACATGACTTTCTGAACCTATTCTTGCATCTCCTCTGCTGTCAATATGGTTACTGCATTGGTCTTTCCATGTGTAAAATGGGACATATTTTAAACATTTCAATTGTTTCTTTTCATTTTTATGGTGAAATCTGTACCCTACAAAGCTATCTTACATTGTCTTTTTACTGAATGCCAATTCAATTTCTCTTTGTTCCATTTTCCTCCCAGATCAATATGCTACAGACACACTGGCCACCATGATACTTTCAAAAGTATATCAAATTTACAAACAACTTAATTAAAAAATGGGCAGCAGACTTGAACAGATATTTCTCTAAAGACACACCAATGGTCAATAAGCACATAGAAAGATGCTCAACATCATTAATCATTAGGGAAAATCAAACCAAAACCACAATAAGATAGCACACTACTAGAATGGCTATACGATTTTTTTTAAATGGAAAATAACAAGTGTTGGTGAGGGTGTGCTATAATTTAAAAAAACAAACAAAATAACAAGTGTTGGTGAGGATGTAGAGAAATCTGAATCCTTGGACAGTGCTGGTGGGAATATAAAATGGTGCAGTTGCTGTGGAAAAGTCTTGTGGCTCTTCAAAAAGTTAAACGCAGAATTATCATGTGACCAAGCAATTCCACTCCAAAGTATATACTCAAAACTTATCAAAGCAGGGAGTTAAGCAGACTTATACCTCTATTGCAGTATTATTCAGTGTTCATTACAGCATTATTCACAATAACCAAAAGGTAGAAAAAAACTAAAGTGCCCATGAATACATTAATGACTAAAATGTTATATATACACACACATACATTTACATACAATGAAATATTATTTAGTCATAAAAAGGAATACAGTTCTGATACATGTTACAACGTGGATAAACCTTGAAAACATTAAGTTAAATAAGCCAGACATAGAAGGAGAAACACTGTATGATTCTACTTAGATGGACTATTTAGAAGAGGCCAATTCATAGAGACAAAGTAGATTAGAGGTTTCCAAGTGCTTAAGGTAAAGGAGAATGGGAGTTATTGCTTAATGGTTATAGAGTTTCTGTTTGGTGTGATGAAGTTTTAGAAATAGATAGTGCTGATGGTTGCACAACACTGTGGATATAATTAATGCCAATGAATTATATTTAAAAATGGTTAAATTTATACAATTTATGATATACGTGTATGTGTAAAAGTATATTTTACTACAACTTCAAACAATTAATAATGTAAAATACCCAAAAAACACAGAATTGTACACTTCAAAATCTGACTTGTATGGTACATGAATTATATCGCAATAAAACTGTTCAAAAAAAAACTGTATCATATTAGTCACTGGTGGACTAATCAATGCAGCAAATAAAACAAAAAGCATTGACTTTAATTATGACTTCTCTAAATTTCTAAAAGTTATAGAATTATAGAATTACTCTTAATCTCAATTATAAATGCAAGAAACTACATTTCACAGTTCTAGCATTAACCAGAAGACATGAATCATGATATAGATCAGAATAAAATATGTTTGTTACTAGACTAAAACCATCCTAAGAAAATGAAAACTATAGGGGGCAGCACCTGGGTGGCTCAGCTGGTTATGCAGCTGCCTTTGGCTCAGGTCATGACCTCAGGGTCCTGGGATCAAAACCCACACAGGGGTCCCTGCTCAGCGAGGAGTCTGCTTCCTCTCCCTCTGCCCCTCCCTATCCCCACTTGTGCATATGCACTCACACTCTCTCCCTCAAATATATAAAATCTTAAAAAAAAGAAAATGAAGAATATTGAAATGTTTTTAATACTACATTAGATAATAAAGCAATAGTGTTTAAATGTGTAGTTACCAATATACATTTATGTATGTATCATATGTAAATAACACAAAAACAATCGAAAAAATTGCAATGACTTAAACAGAAAACCAAAAAACTTACTGCTGTCTTTGTAGACTAATAAAATGCAGGCCATTATTTTCAAAAGTTCAGCAACAACCACTGCTGTAGAAGATAGATAACGAGGTCCCTCCTCTTTTAAAGTCCTAGAATAACGCATCGTTAGAACCAAACTGGTAGTCTGAAAGACTAAAATTCCCAAGGAAAGGTATTTTAGGTTGGCAGACATTATTTTATCTTCATTTGCCTGAAAAATAAATAAGCAGGGCAAATAAAATTAGAAAACACAGAAACATATTAAAAATCAGTATGAGACTTCCCATTCCAGACAAGGTAGAGTTAAGTGCATTCCACCCTTTTCTTCCTGCTAATTACAACTATAAACCCTGGACTAGAGAAAAAAGCTAACTACCATAAGACTCTGGAAGTTGAAGAAAATAAGACAAACTGGCTAGAGACCCCAGATCCTGAGTGATAACCCAATAGTAAATTCCTTGGAGACTTCTGCCACCTATGTATCTCAGCCTGGCTGCCATAACTAACTCACAACCTGGAACCACAACAGGTGGAGAGCAACAACAAACAGAAGTCCTACAAAAAACCCATTGTCTCCAACCAAAGGAGGAGGAAGACAGCAGCTCTGCAGAATGGAGCCCTACTAACTGGATGCTATGTAATGTGTGGAACAGAGACTCGCTGACCATCTCTACCCTGCATTAATGAGGGCGGAGACAGTGGCCCTCTTCCCTACCACCCGGGGCGACAGCTACAAAGACTGTTGAGGCTGAGGCCCATGAACCACTCCGGCCCTAAGCAAGGTGACTGTCAGCAAAGAGGCAGCACCCTCCCTCCATACTAATAAAGAAGATTTAAGTAGGAACCAAGGTCTCATAATACCCAAAACGTCCTCGATACAATCCAAAAGGAGTATATTCCTCACACCAAAAAACAACAACAACAAAACCCAGGAAAAATCTCAACTAGGATGAGAAAGGACAATCAACAGACAACAATACAGAGTTGACACAGATGTCGTAATTACCAGAATTTTAACTTGTTGTTGTTGTTGTTTTTTGTTGTTCTTGTTTTTTAAAGGGAGAGGTGGGGAGGAGCAGAGGAAAAGGGAAGGAGAATCTTAAACAGTCTCCATGTCCAGTGCGGGGCTCGATCTCACAACCCTGAGATCCTGACGTGAACCGAAATCAAGAGTTGGATGCTTAACCCACTGAGCCACCCAGGCACCCCACTGACCTCCAAACAAGATTTTTTTTTTTAATTTTATTTATTTAAGAGAGAGAGCGCACGAGCAGAGGGGAAGGGCAGAGGCAGAAGCAGACTCCCCACTAAGCAGGGAGCCCAACGTGGGGCTCAATTCCCAGGACCCTGGGATCATGACCTGAGCTGAAGGCAGACGCTTAACCGACTAAGCCACCCAGGTGCCCCCAGACAAGAATTTAAAAGAAGCTACTGTAACAATGCATGAACAACAAGCAATTATAAACACTCCTGAAATAATTTTAGATTCACATAGAATAAAAATAGTACAAGAGTTCTTGTGTACTCTTCACCCAGCTTTCCCCAAAGGTAAAGAGTTGCAAAGTTCCTATATTTTCCCTAAAGTAATTCAGAATTGACTCTAAGAAGCTCACTTTAAATATGAAGATACAAATACGTTAAAAAGTAAAAGAATGGAAAAAGATATGCCATGAGAGAAATAACTATGAGAAAGCTGGAGAGGCCAAATTAGGATCACGAAAAATAAATTATGTAAGAATTATTTCTAGAATAAAGGACACTTCATAATGATAAAAGAGTCAATACATCAGTAAGATATAGCCAGTATAGATGAATATTGTGCTTAATAACTAGCTTCAAAATACATGAAGCAAAACCTAACAGAATTAAAAGGAAAAAGCAAGTAAATCCATAAGTTATAATGTGAGATTTTAACCCACTTTTCTCAGTAATTACAAGAATACACACACATATACACCAAACCCCCCAGTATGAATACAGAAGATCTGAACAACACTATCAACCACTATAGCTGTCAAAAACATGGAGATGCTCCACTAAGAGCCTATTTCAAGGAAGGACTTAATGCAGTGTGTGTGGTCAATTAATGCCTTTCCACCCAAGGTCACATCCTTTGCTTCCAACTGATCTAAAGATTCAATTCAATCTCAAGCAAAATCCCTACATGCTTTTTTGGTAGAAACTGATAAGCTGACTTTAAAATTTATATGGAAATACAAAGGACATAGAAAACCAAAACAATTTTGAAAAGGAAAAACAGTGTTAAGTAAGTTAAACTCCTGGGGCGCCTGGGTGGCTCAGTCGTTGGGTGTCTGCCTTCGGCTCAGGTCATGATCCCAGGGTCCTGGGATCGAGTCCCGCATCGGGCTCCCTGCTCAGCGGGAAGCCTGCTTCTCCCTCTCCCACTCCCCCTGCTTGTGTTCCCTCTCGCACTGTCTCTCTCTGTCAAATAAATAAAATCTTAAAAAAAAAAATAAGTTAAACTCTTGAGGGGTGGCTGGGTGGCTCAGTCGGTTAAGTGTCTGACTCTTGATTTCGGCTCAGGTCATGATCTCAGGGTCGTGAGACTGAGCCCGGCTTTGGACTTCAAGCTCAGCGGGGGTCTACTTGAGATTCTCTTTCTCCTGCTGCCTCTGCCCCTACAGCCCCGCTCATGTGCATGCATGCTCTCCCTCTCTCTCAAATAATAAACCTCTAAAAAAAAAAAAAAAAGTTAAACTCCTGAAATTCCATACTTACTATAAAGCTCTAGTAATTAAAACTGCTACTGACATAGGACAGGACAGAAGTATAGATCAATGGAACAGAAGACAGTCCAGAAGTAAATCCATTCATATTTGGTCAAATGACTTTGACAATGGTAACAAAAAAATAATTCTAGAACAAGACATCTGCATTCTTTTTAAGTGAATCTCTACCCTTATCTACCTCACACCAAATATTTAACTAGAAAAGGATCACAGATCTGTCATAAAAGCTAAAGCTATAAATATTCAGAAAGAAAACAGGAGAAAAATATAGCCATGTAGGGATAGGCAAAGATTTCTTTTTTGTATTTTAAAGATTTATTTATTGGGGTGCCTGGGTGGCTCAGTCATTTTAGCCTCCAACTCTTGGTTTCAGCTCAGGTCATGATTTCAGGGTAGTAAGGACGAGCCCCATGTGGGGCTCCGCACTCAGTGGGAAGTCTGCTTGAGATTCTCTCTCTCCATCTCCTTTTTGAGATTCTTTCTCCATCTCCTTCTGCCCCTTCCCCCATTCTCTCTCTCTCTCAAATAAATAAAACTTATTTATTTGAGAGAGAGAGAGAGAGCACAAGGAGGGAGAGGGACAGAGGGAGATGGAAAGGAGAGAAGCAGACTCCAGGCTCGACCTCAGTACCCTGAGATTATGACCTGAGCTGAAACCAAGAGTCAAAAGCTTAACCGACTGAGCCACCCAGAAGGGACATGCAAAGATTTCTTAGGATACAAAAAGCTCAAACCATAAAAGAAAAATATGGATAAATTGGATATCATCAAAATTTAAAACTGTTCATCCCAAGATACTATAAAAATAATAAAAGGCAAACCACATCAGGGGAGAAAATATTCTCAATACGTGTATCTGACAATGGCTTTGTATCCAGAATATATATAGAACTCTTACAACATAATAAATACAAGACAACCCATGAGTAAAAGATCTCAATAGACATTTCACCAAAAAAGACAAACCAATAGCTAATAGGCACATGAAAAGACATTCAACATCATAATCATTAGAGATACAAATTAAAACCACAATGAGATACCATTATATACCTATTAGAATGGCTAAAATTGTAAAAATTGATGCTACCAAGCGATGGAGAAGATTTTGAGCAAATAGAGCTCTTAACATTGCTAGTGGGAATATTAAGTGATACAACCACTTTAAGTAACAGTTTGATAGTTTATTTTAAAAAATAATAATAATCTTTTCATATAACCTAAAAATTCTACTCTTAGGTGTATACCCAAAAGATCTGAAAGCATTTATCCATAATACTTGTGTATGATTATTCATGGAAGTTTTATTTGTAACAGCCAGAAACTGGAAATAACCCAAACGCCCATTAACAGTAAATTACTAAACATACAGTGGTACATCCTTATGATGGAATACTACTTAGCAATAAAAAGAAATGAAATGCTGATACATGTTAAAACATCAATGCAAACATTTTGCAACAGCAAAAAAGTTTACAGACAAAACAGTATATACTATATGATCCATTTATATGAAATTCTAAAAAGGGCAAAAGTAATTTGCAGTAATGCAAATTTATGGTTGACTGTGGCCAGGGGTTGAGGTTGGGGATTGACTGCAAAGGGATAACAAGAAATTTTTGGTGGTGATGGAAATATTCTGTATCTTGATTATGTGATGGTTATACAATTGTATTCACTTATTGTAACTCACTGAACTAAACATACAAAATGGGTACATCTTATTATGTGTAAACTACAGCTTAACAAAGTTGATTAAAGATAGAGGACATACTAAGCAGTAGCATTCCTCAGCAGGCTTTCCTCATAGCTTTGATTCTGGCTCTAATTTCTTTGGATTAATACCAATGGTGTTCTGTTAGTCTGTTCTTCAGCCCAACTCTATCCTTTCCATGATTCCATCTTCCATCCTAAGTTTTGTTAATATGGACCCTCTTTATTGTATATCTCTTTATAGCTCTCACAACCAAGCCACCATTTACAGTTTTAGATATATGATCCTCTATCTTCCCTTACCTCATAATTATTAAAATAGCATGTAATATATTCAAACATTCAACAGTCATTATTTGGTGCCTATACTAGGCCAAGTACCATGGTTACAGTGACAGCCTATCCTTGAAGGCACAAAGTCTAGCTCATTAAATTTAGCAATTCTCTGACTGAATATGCTCCAAAATCAAACAATGTAACACCATCAATATGAGGATAAAATTTTTAGTGACGAAAAAGAATGATTGAAAAACATTACCTTAAGTACTTCATCTGATTTTCAGAGAGAAAATCTGAATAATATATGTCTTTTTTGTCACACATAAAGGATCAAGCTTAGAGGAAAGAATACATCAATTTATGTATCAACCATCTCACTTTTGTAAATCTGCATTAGCAAGAGTCCTAATGTGAAATAAAATTACAGCATTTTAGAGGTAGAAGATGCTTTAGAAATCATCTAGTATAA